CGCTGACTCTGGCTATGGGTCTAGCCGTAATGGCTGCGCATGCGCTGATTAGTTCAACTCCTCAACTCCTAGGTTTTCTCCTATTGTTACCCGTTTGCTGCTGCTGCTGCCTGGTTTATTTTTTATGCGTTTTCTGGCTTTATAAAAAACATTTTTATTACTTAATTTACATTGGCGCACACTCACACACATTAAGAGGACAAAAAAGCCGAACAATTGAGCGTAATTTGGCTTGGATAATTGTAATTGACGAGACTCCAGATGTGCTGCTCATTAATATGGAATGCATGTGGTTTTCTATAGGTGCAGCACTCCCATATCTCAGTTGCCCAGAAATATACGAAGGCCAACGGGGAAAGCTGTCCATAAAATCTATCACACCAGAGCAGCTTAGCAGCTCAACCGAGATGAGATATTCCTACAAGTAGCTTAGGCCTAGAAACCAATCGGAGCTCGAACGAAATAAAATGAAAATTGAGCAGAGATGCAGAAAATCAGCCTCAACACAATAATTACATCTAGTTTAGCAGACCAATCAATTTGCATGCAACGTTCTCAACATGTAAATAATCTCATTCACATGTTCAGTCTCTCCATTTTAGTACTCCTAAGTGATTCTCTTACTTCCTTTGCATACAATTCTTTTTATATTTACTACTTTTGAGCGTTGAATTCTCAATTGGTTGAGCTACTTAAATAGTAAACAATCTCTTATTGAGTTCCACGGCGAATTGTAGCTTATCAGCTTCAAGCCCACATATCCTCAGACTTATCTAAATTGTAAGCGTAGACACTTCCGTCTCGGCAATAGCTCATAATCAAAATGTTTTTATTATCGAAAGCATATGGCAATTTATCATTTGTTGCCAATTGACATAAATTGAAGTTTGCATAATATAATTGCGTTTATGGCATATTTGAAAGCTGATCTAATAATATTAACGGTCTCGCTGACCTTCAGCCAACTATTTACTTTCAGTTTTCATAATTGAACCGAGCGAATATAAACGGCAAGATTGTAAGAAAAAAAATAAAATCATAGTAAGAAATAACCTATAAATAAATACGCATTCATACGTCAGTGTGAATGTATGTCGATGCGAAAGAGTATCAATTTCTTTGGTTTTTATCGCAGTTGAACAATTGAAAGCAAAAGCGGCCAACTAACATAATTGCAGCGCRCACACACACAATGCATTGTTTTTATGTGTGCCCATGTGAGTGAGTGTATGTGTGTGTGTGTGTGTACTACACACCCACCAACAGTTCACAGCTTGAATCGTTAATCATTCAACCGCAACATTTGCAAAAAAACAAAGGAAAACTAACCCAGGCCCAAAGCCCGCATACCCCAGCCCGCACTTGGCTCTCCCACAAGCTCGAGGCCCGGCGACAGGCCGCGCTCAATTGTAAACGAGTAAATTTAAATGTTTATCCAATGCAGCTAGCTAGCGCTCATTTTTTTGCTGACCTATTCTATACTCTATAAACATTGTTAAAATATTTATAGAGTAGTACATTTTTTTTATTACTTAATAACTTCATTACATAATAAACCATTTTATGTAATAGCTAGTGAATTTTTTTACTAGACAATATTTTTATTTTATAAATACAAATAT